AGAGGGAGGCCCAGCCCGGAGTCACAGGCGGCCCAACGCACAGAACCGAGAGGGCGGCGGACGGCGCGAAGGAGCGGGAGGGAGCGGGGAGGAGGAAGAAGAGATCCGGGCGATGCAAATGTTCCCCCCTTCCATGCGTTTTCGCCTGGTTTCGGGCCCCGGGGACAGCACAGTTCGATCAGGCTCGAAAGATGCAACAGAAACCGCTCGTGATTTGTCAAGATGTCGATGTTGTTTTGCAGCGTCGGACCTCAGGGTAGTCGGGAGTTGCCAGAAAGGTCCTGTCCCAAGGTTCTCCTGGAATTTCCTAGGAGGCCCCCACAGCCTCCAGAGCACCCCTGATGAGGCCCAGACGGCACTGGGGGCTCCGAGACGAAGCGGAAGGCTGGGGGGGCACCCCTGGGCCTGGGACACCTTTCTAGCCACCCCCGAAGTAGGTGGCAGGAGGAAGCATGAAGCAAGCTTCAAGTCGGGGGCTGTCCCCCTGCAGGGGGATTTTGGACGAAAACATAAAAATATGCAAAACATGCCCAAACGATGCCCCAAAATAGTGAAAACATAGTCCCCAGACTATTTTTGGGACTACGTTTGAACATTCCCCCCTGTAGAGGGGCAAGCCCGACTTAACCCTGGGCCTGGGACACCCTTCTAGCCCCCCCCGAAGTAGGTGGCAGGAGGCAGCGTGACGCAAGCTAGAAGAGCGGGGCGAGCGGGGAGGGCGGATGGAAAGGCCCCCGGGACACACAAAGAAATGCACACAGACCACCGGATTCCCCACAGTCTCTACGGGGCGTGAAAACGACCACAGCCACTGCTTCTCTTTCGTTGCCGCCTTCCAGCCCGCAGAAACAAAGCAGTGGCTGTGGTCATTGTCGTTGAGCTTGGCACCAGGGAAATGACCACAACCACTGCTCCTTTCTCGGCCGGCCGGAAGGCGGCGCCAACGAGAAGCAGTGGTTGTGGTCCTTTTCCCGTCCCGCAGTTTCCCAAATTTTCAGGCTTTTGTCTTCTCCCCACCCACCCCCTCCTCTCCCCAAATCTCCCTGGGAGTCGGCGATCCCATGGCGTCCGCGTGCCTCCTCCCCTCCGGACGGAGGGCGGGGGGGCGGGGAGAGGGCGGGCTGGGCGTCGCAGGCCGCGTCGCAGAGCGCTCCCCCCGCCATCGCTCGGACGTCCATTCCCTGTGCTTTTTGTTCGGTTCCGTGCGTGGTTTTTTCCGCGAAGTGATCGAGGATGCTCCTCGACGGTCCCCCACCGAGGAAAAATGCACACGTCCGAGCGATGCCAAGTCCTGGGAGCGCTCCCGGCTCGCTCGGGGGGGGCTGGGGGAGCGGGAGGAGCGGGAGGAGCCGAGCAGAGGAAGAGCCGCAGGGGCACAGGCTTTTTCGGAGGTCTTCGAGGAGGTCCTATAGATCCTGGGTCGGAAAAAAAGCCAGAGAAGAAGCCCAAAAGCGCCAAGAGCACCACCTTTCGGAGTGGCCGCGCCAGGGTGCGCAACAGCGCCACCCGAGCCTCGGTCCGCGACGGATCGTAGCCAAGAGGAGGAGGAGGAGGAGGAGGAGGAGGAGGAGGAGGAGGAGGATGTAGAAGAAGAAACATTGCATGAACATAACCTTCAGGAAGTCCGCGCAGATGTCTTGGATTGGCGCCAGGCCCTTGGCGCCGCCCCCGGCGCGCTCCGCGCACCAGGGAGCGCCGATCCAAGAAATCCGCGGGGAGCTCCGAACACCTGTAGTTATGGCGCTCTTCTGGGGACGCGATGTAGTCTGCAAGCCACCCCCACCCACAAGCAGGCGGGTCCAGCAGAAGTCCGTGGAGAGAAGCGGTGCACAATCAGTGGTATTTCCTGGGGTTGTTCACCTCCCCCACACACACAAGCTGGTCTGGCACAAAACAGGCGCGCGGCGGCGGTGGCCATCATCGGGGATCTTCTGACCCGGGTCAGTCCAGACCCGGGTCAGTCAGCCCTTGCAGAATCCTGCAACCTCTTGCAAGATCCTGCACCCAAACCCGGGTCAATGCGAAGGATCCTGCAGGATCCTGCACCCAAACCCGGGTCAACGCGGCCCGGGCTTGGTCAAGATCAAGAGCCGTGCAGGATCCTGCAAGATCGGGCGCTCTGGCTGACCCCCGTTTGCATTGACCCCCATCTCAAGGCTCCCGACATCAATCGGCACGATGTTCGGCACTGACCGGAGTGGATGCTTCTCGGCAACTGTAGTGGCGAAACAGGAGGAGGATGAGGAGGAGGAGGAGGAGGAGGAGGAGGAAGAGGAGAAAGAGGAGGAGGAGGAGGCAGAGGGGTGAGAGGAGAGGACGACAGGACGAGGATGCGGAGGAGGCCGAGGGAGGGAAACGGGTAGAAAAGGCGCGCTGGTCCCGAACATCTCTGGCTTCCAGGGTCGAAAAGCTGGCTGGTGTGTTGCGAGTCGCGCCCAGCCGCGGCGACGAGGCTCTCTGCTGGCTCGAGCCGGTGCCAAGGGCCACCTCGGCCCCCCAGCTGGAGTCCTCCTCCTCGAGCCTCCTGGAGCCTCCTCGAGCCTCCTCGATCCTCCTCGATCCGCCTCGATCCTCCAAGATCCTCCTCGATCCTCCGCCTCCCCCTCCTTCCCGATCAAGCTTATGGCGCTCTTATGATTAGCAGTATCATTAAGAGTCATAAGATTAGTATTATCACTTGTATCATTGTATTGTTCTTCTTTCATATTATTAGTCGTACCATTACTATTCCTATTATTGTTCTCCGCGCGAAGGCCCCACCTGCCTGGCGCAGACCGCGGCGCCGTCCGCGGCCGCCCTAGTCAGCCCGAGCCGCGGCGAGCTGTGCGCGCGCGCCGGCATCCCCGCCACGCACCGCCCTCCTCCTCCTCCACCTCCTCCTCCCCATCCTCCTCCTCTTCCTCCTCCTCCCACTCCTCCCCCTTCCTCCTCCCTCCTCCGCCTCCTCCTTCTCCTCCTCCTCCTCATCATCATCATCATCATCATATCCTCATCCCCCCTCCTCATCCCTCCTCCCTCCCTCCGCCTCCTCCTCCTTTCCCTCCTCGTCTCCTCCCTTCTCCTTCTCCTCCGCCTCCTCCTCCTCCTCCTCCCTCCTCCTCCTCCTCCTCCCCCTCCCCTCCTCCTCCTCCTCCTCCTCCTTCCTCCTCCTCCTTCCTCCTTCTCCTTCCCCCCCCCCCACCCCCGTCCTCCCTCCTCCCTCCTCCTCCCTCCTCATCCTCCTCCTCCTCTCCTCCTCCTCCTCCTCCGCCCTCCGCCTTCCCCCTCCCCCGCCTCCTCCCCTCCTCCTTCTACTCCACCCCTCCTCCTCCTCCTCCCTCCTCCTCATCCTCCTCCTCCTCCGCCTCTCCTTTCACCTTCCTCCGCGTCCTCTCCTCATCCTCCTCCTCCGCCTCATCCTCCTTTCCCTCCTCCTCCGCCTCCTCCTCCTACTCCTTCGCCTCCTCCTCCTCCTCCTCCTCCTCCTCCTCCTCGTTTTCCTCCTCCTCTCCTCCTCTCCTCCTCCGTCCTCCTCCTCCACCTCCCCCTCCTCCTCTCACTCCTTCTCCTCCTACCTCCTCCTCCTCTCCTCCTCCTCCTCCTCCTCCTCCTCCCTCGTCTCCTCCTCCTCAGCCTCCTTCCGCCTCCTCTCCTCCGCCTCCTCCTCCTCATCTCGCTTCCTCCCTCCTCCCTCCTCCTCCTCCTCCTCCTCCTTCTTCTCCTCCGCCTCCTCCTCCTGCTCCTCCGCCACCTCCTCCTCCTCGTCCTCCTCCGCCTCCTCCTTCTCCTCCGCCTCCTCCTCCGCCCACACCGTGCCATCTCGCTCGCAGGCGCGACGCCCAGCGGGCAGGAGTCGTTGACGGTCTGTTTGCTTTTACCGGCGGTTGCGTCTCGAGTTCGGCCACCGGGGCTCGTCGTCGGTCCCCAGGACCATCAAGAGCGGGCCCGCGACGCAAGACGAACCCCTGCGAAAGGGTCCGGAGCTCTGAGGCCATGGACGGAACAAATTATGTCGTCGGATGTCCAGGTACAGTGGATGCCAGTCCACAAGAAGCCCTCCACGAGAGACCCAACCATGAGACCCCAGGAAGTCCATTGATTTTTGGTGTGGGAACGTGACGCTTTCCATGGCAGAACCATCGAGACCCGAGAAACCCAGGGCACCCTGGCGGCAAGCACGGTGTTTCTTGACATGGGCCTCCACTGTGCGTCACTCCCGGGTGCGCGAATGTCATCGCCAGTCTGGGGGCTTTCCAGGAGGCCCTGCGGAGAAGCCCAAGAAACCAACATCGATTCTCAGTGAAAGCGTTTCTGGCTTCTCGGTCTCAGGAGCGGCCAAGACTGCCCAAGAGATCCACGGGATGGCCCCCAAGAGGCCCCCCGAAGGCCTCTCGTCAGTGCCCAGGCGCGGTGGCGTGTTCGGCCAAAGTCCACTATTCTATACAAAAAACCGCTGTTGCGTGCGCTGTCACGGCCGCCACTGCCGTAGTCATCCACCCCGTTAGCCCCCCACCCCGAGGCGCCCGCAGTTTTCAGGACTATGATATCCCTGGGTTCGTTGTTACGCACAACCCCTTGTCTGAAACCTTCACCTGGAGATGTTCGAAAATCGGTTGGCGGGTTTCTGCCGTGACGACGTGGGCTTTGGTTCTTCTGACACCGCGCGGATCGCACAAACTTGATCGATCCACCTCTCACGATGACGCGGACAGTTCGATACCAGGGCGCGCACCCTCCGTACCCTCTCCCTGTCTCTTCTGCCCCCTCTTTCTCCTTCATCGGCGGATGAGCCTCTATGATGGGCCTGTTTTCCACCACCACCACCACAAGTTGGAGGGGGGAAGGAGGTGGAGGACGAGGCGGAGGACGGAGAGGAAGACGAGGAGGAGGAGGAGGAGGAGGTGGAGGAACAGAGTTGAGCAGAGCCCCCTCCCCCTCCAGCTTTGTGGTGGTGGTGGTGGACAACAGGCCCACCACTCTGCCCCTGGCGGGAGCGGCGCTGGCACCGGCGAGCCTCCCTCTCAGGGCGGCGGCGGGGCGGCCAGCGAGGTGAAGCGCCGCGAGAGCGTGTCCTGGCCCGTCGGAGCCGTCGTCGGAGCCGTCTGGGTTTGAGCAGGTTGGAACATCATCCTGGAGCATGTTGGAACAGGATGACGAGGAGCAGGAGGACGAGGAGGACGAGGAGGCCGAGGAGGAGGAGGACGAGGAGCAGGAGGACGAGGAGGCATTCCTATATTGGGCGCCCGAGTTCTCCGGGGCAACTCGGGCCCAGGGTATAACTCGGGCTCGGATTCCCGAAAAACGGACCCGAGTCAGCCCTGACCCGAGTTGTCCCTGATGGTTTGGGGCTCTGGACGCCCGAGTTATCCAGGGTAACTCGGGCCCGGGGCAACTCGGGTTCGGATTCCCGAAAAACGAACCCGAGTTAGCCCTGACCCGAGTTACCCCTGATGATTCGGGTCTCTGACTATAGTCCTACCACGAAATGTTCTTAGAACCCAAAAATGCTCTTAGAACAACAACAACAACAACGTTCTTAGAACATTAGCCCGATGTGTTAAAACAAGACAGACTCCGCCAGAAATGTTCCAATAATATTTCGTGGAAACCACAAAAGGTTCTTAGAAAATTGTTTGGTAGGGCTATAGGCACGCCGGGACGCTTCGCCACTGCTTGATGGGTGGATCGCCGCACGCGGCGCCTGCGCCAGCAGCACAGCCGATCGCACAAGCGCGCCAAGTGATGGCTCGTGCTGCTCCCATCGTACTCGAGGGCCACATCCCAGAAATGATATCGAGCACCCGGAAAAAGGTGTCGGAATGGTATCGAAGAAGTATCGAAACAGCGTCGAAACAGTGTCTCCCAGGGCCGCCCGGCACGTGAAAGCCCTCAAGTTTTGGTACGTTCTTGGTGCTCGAAATTCTTTCTGGTGGTCAAGGCTGAAGCAGGTTGGAACCTCATAAGTGAAGGCACGCGGATACGTCCAAGTGTGCACGATGGCAGGCATGCTGTGCAGTCTCTGGGGTACTTCTCAGCGCTCTCCGAGCCACCTGCCACAGTCATATTATCAAGGATACTCAGCACGCGCGCAAGAAGTGCACCAAGCTGATGAACAACCTGCACAAAGCAGAGCCCAACGACCATGAAGACGAGGACCAGGGGAGAAGGACGACTAACAGGATAGACGGTATAGTCCAGCCCTCGGGGAGAATCAACAACAGCCTAAAATCACGAGGCACCGAGCAAGCCTTCCAAATGCGACCAAGAGATCCTCCAGGCATCGTGGAAACAGCGCAAACCCACGGAGAGTGCCTGGCCTCTGCGTGTCAAACTACAGGCCGCAACAGAAGGCCTGAAGATTCCCGCAAGCCCCTCCTCTCGTCCCTTCTCCTCCCCAGTGACGCCTGAAGTTACCAGCCTCGAACGTATCCCTATCCCTAAGATTGACACGCCAAAAGGCGATGACAATCTTAGGGATTCGCCTTCAAAAATAAGGGAATCCCTAAGATTGGCATCGTGATGAGGAGGTGCCCAGCATAAGGACAGGGATATGTTCTGGGCTGGTAATGAAGTAAAAAACCAGAGCCGGGCCGAGATCGAGCTTAGCCGAATGGTGTACGGGAGATGCATCGGGCGCAACGGCCGCCCAAGAGCGCCGCGGAACGCCACGAGAGCGTCCCAGAATGCTCCGACACGGTTCACGCGGGGTTCAGATGGTGTCGACCTGAGCGTTGCTTTGGGGCTTAAGTGGGCCCTGGACACGACAGGGCCGTTTTTGTTGCCGGTTACGTTTTGCCGTTTTTGTTGCCGGTTCCGACGCCGTTTTTTTACCGGTTCCGTCGCCGTTTTTTGACTTGTTCCGGCTCCGGTTCCAATCCTGGAGCCGTTTTTTTTACCGTTTCCGGTCGCCGTTTTTTTGCCGTTTCCACTTTCAAAGGACATTTTTTTGGAAACGGTGAAAAACCGGCCCTGCCGTTCCCGGGGCCCACAAAAAGCTTTGGGGCACCGCGTGGATTGCTCATCCTTGAACGGCTGTGGCCTTCCGATGCCGAACTAACAAAGCTCGATGCCGGCCGACTCCAGGCCACCCGCAGCCTTCCACCGCACGTGTGCGCCCGTCGCCGCCGCATCAGCGCGGCGCGGACCTGCCGCATGTTCTGCCCTAGGAAGGCACCAATTATACACCAACACCGATCCTGGCCAGGATCACCCTGGGCCCAGGATCGGTGTTGCGCAAGAAGGCATATACACCGATCCTGGGCCCAGGGTGATCCTGGGCCAGGATCGGTGTTGGTGTATAATTGGTGCCCTCCGATGCCCTGACATGCCGTCCTCCCCCCACCGCTTTCCCAGAAATAGGGGAGCGAACAATGGCCCTAAACATAAAAACTCGGAAGTCCGCGCGGCGGCGCCGGAGGCGCCGCCAGGGGGCCCCAGCGCCGATCCAAGAAATCCGCGCGGACCTCCGAGTTTTTCTGTTTGTATCACTTTTTGTTCCCCTGGTCTGGGGTCCTGTGCGCCGTCTGGGAGGTTCTCTTCGCGAATTAATCGTCGATTCTCCAGTTTTGATGTTGATGTCATTGTTCGTTCTCCGAGTTTTGATGTTTATGTCATTGTTCGCTCTCCTAAGACAGGCAGGAACAAACCTGCCCTATCATTGCTCGTGGGAGGCCCGCGCGCCCGTCTCGGGTCGGCGCCGGCATCCCCCCTGGCGCGCCCAGGGGCGCCGCGGGGGGCAGCGCCAGGGGGTCCAGCGCCCACCAAGAAATCCGCACGGACCTCCGATGTTCGATCACACGCGAGGGCGGACAGGCATGTTCGAGCACACGCGAGGGCGGACAGGCATGTTCGATCACACGCGAGGGCATGTTGGAGCCGGCTGTCCATGTTCCATCACACGCGAGGGCGGACAGGGACACTGTGCATACGGACGTGCGCGGCTCGTCCTTACGCTGAGGCCGTGCCAATATTTTCCGTATCGTTGTGCTGAAACGGCGTTCGGGGGAAAACACTGCCTGCGGTACTACTACTACTACTACTACTACTACTACTACTACTACTACTACTACTACTACTACTACTACTACTACGACTACTACTACTACTACTACTAC